GTATTAGACGGAAAGACGTTAGTACGAATTAATAAATAACGAAAGTAAAGTAAAACTTAAAACATATTTATTGTCGCATACATACATAATATCTACAGTTGCAACGTCACCAGGACAACCTGACCTCATAAGGTAGAACTAGTTGATGCCACGTTAACCCTAAACCGGTAAAACTTTATAATCATGGATATTATATCATCCGATGATGAACAAGTTTAAAGTTAGAGAATATCTACAGTTGCAACGTCACCAGGACAACCTGACCTCATAAGGTAGAACTAGTCGATGCCAGGTTAACCCTAAACCGGTAAAACTTTATAATCATATATATTATATCATGTGTATCCGATGATGAACAAGTTTAAAGTTAGAGAATTATACTCATCATGGGTTCTTTTTTCGATGACGAGGAACCCACTTTGAGACTAACAATGGTTGGAGACGGCTTGAATGGTACCTGATGATGACAAAACCTTGTCGAAACGTTGTACATTTGCTGTTATGTTAAACTTATATCAAAGTTTTTCTTCATTACCCATTCAAGCCGTCTCCAACCATTATAGGTTCTTTACTCGGACGGAGTGACGACTGTCAGAACCACGAATAGAACTGTCACAGGTTTAAAGTTCACTAACTTGTCAGACAAGGACACATCCTGTCTGAATGGCTCTATACAAATGTTTCTATCAGAAGCAATACTCTGACTAATCTGAGATAGGCTACTGGTTTTTTAAATAGCTGGGAAGACGAAGCAAGATACTAAACTCTCTTTACGTCAAGAAACCTAGGGTTCTAGTAGATCGAAAATGTCCAAATGAAGATTACGTTAGTGTAGAAACTCTGAAGGGAGTGAACAGCTAAACATTCTAAGTTCAAGGTCACAAACGGACATGTCTACAAACAGAAACATAGTTAGTCTACCCTGAGGAGAAGTAGCCTATTGCGAGTACGAAACGCAGACACTAAACCTATCGGGGGTGGGAAGTGGTTAAACATACTTTAGGCATTTTCTGAGGAATTTCCTACGATACCCACAGGACTGGTTAGTTGTTTTTTTTTTAAACAAGTACACTACTACCTGCTGACCAAAGTTCAGTAGAAGGCTTGGTTGGGGGAATAAACTCGGCAACTGGATGTGAATAAATTAATAACGTTAAGAAAAACGGATTTGTGGCGTCGCTTTGCTAATACTCAACGCACTACGGGTATGAAAACTTTAAAACTTATCGCCAAGCCATCGGGGGCGATTCATTGAAAATAGCACGCTTTGTTTTCTTTGTAATTACGACTTGTTATTATTATTTTTTTATTATTATTTAAGGTTTCTGCTAGAAGTTTTTACATAACTAAACATAGAACAAGTAAAAAAGTTTACATGTTTACACACAAAAGTATTTCTATTCCAGCTTGTCTAACATTAAATACTTTTTATTAGTTAATGGAAACTTTTTTCGCATCCGATTCTAAACATTTTAGAAACATGACATCCAATCCAGTCATTTTTAACACAACTAAAGCATTAATCCTCACTAAGTCAACGTTAAATAATCAATAAATCTGTAGTTGTGAATAAAGTACAAGAACAAGACATCAAATTCTAATTCCCCCAGATTCTACTTCTCAAAGACAACTTGTACTGTTACAATATATAGAGAATAATGAGTCGCGAAGGGATGGGTGGAATTATTGGGGCATCTTCCACTTAAAAGTACAAGTTTTTTTTTCTTTTTTAAAAAATAAACTATAAAACAAGTCTTGGCAATGATAAAAATAACTCAACCGGTTTTAATCCTGTTAAATATTTATCGCGCATGTTTACGTCATCTTTCTTGGAATTAACAGATAACTTCAAAATATTTTAATACATGTGAAAATCAATTATTACATCATCTGTCCTTACAACAATAACAACTTTGCTCAATCAACAATGTACGTAAAGATGAAAAACGGTTGATAGTTATGTTTTACCTTTAATTTATCCATGTTAAGGATTTAAAGTAAAAGATTAGCCAAGGTACAAGACGCCTCCAATACGTTTTTTATTAAAATCCTAGTTTTGTGGGCAGGTTTAGAAAAATACTTAGCTCAAGCTGATTATTAAAGAACGGTCTCTTACCAACAAGTTTTCCAGATGTGTGCACACTGGTATAGTGTTTTTAGTTATCCTTTACACACACCACCGTGAAAGTACTTTTATATAGGTTTTGAAGAATATGTAGCATTGAAGGAAAAAAATTATTCTTCTGGACGATTCTTATACATTAATAGCATGAATGTTACGTATTCTTCAAATATTATGTAAACACGGGTTTATTGTAGCGAGTAAAAGAAAACTACAAACAGCTTACACTTCACCACTAAAAACCTATTGTTGCTTCTTTTTTTTTTATTTTCGATATAACCTTGTCAGAGGTTACTGATGAGGGGGGTGGGGGGGGTCCCTAAACTAGTATAACTGTGAATCTCATAGAAAGAAGAATGTGGGTGATATAAAAATGCGCTTGTGCTTAAACATGTTCTCACAATCTATTTTTCTATCATCATTACTGGTAATAAAATAGATAAAGTAATATCTCTTTGCTGAACCTTCTCAACAATAACATTCCAAGACCAGCAAATTTGAAAGGTCCTTTAAGCCCAAATTCTATTTTTACTGCATAATACAGTGGAAATTTGGAAACATTAAAACTGTAGTCGTGAGTTAACCTTCGCCCATTTTATTCGTCAGGATAAACCCGAGGTTTTTCTTTCTTTGCTAGGAACGTAATCAAAACTGATTAGAAAATACCCATTGATGATAATTAGTTATCGAATTCTAAATGGAGCTTCTGTGTATCTGAAGCAAAACAGGTTATGTTGACAATTTAGTAGCTTGAAACTTAAGAAAACCTTGAAAAAAAAAAAACCTACATTCTGAAGAGACTTGTCTTTTTCGGCCAGTCTGGCGTTCGCGTCAGTCACCAGTTCTTGAGCCGAATCCAATTCATTTTCCAGACATTGGATTTTTTGCTGAAGAATACGAGCTTCCTCTTCGGCCTAGAAAGTAAATATTATCAAAAGATAAATTTTCCAAAAACATTCAGCATAAATAACTCACCGTTAAGGAACTGATAAACGCTGGATTTTGACGATTATATCTATTCCTTCAGTAGATGTGAATCCAAAATGGAAGTCGATTAAAACAATTATTGCGAATAACAAAATTACCTTGGATTTACCATAGCTACTTCTTTTACACTTAACACGTGTTAGTGGTATCACAAAACTTTAGTTATCCGGGATTCGATCCCTGGTCCACGAGGTGTGTGTGTGTGTATATATATATATATATATTATTTATTTATTTTGTAGACTAAGCCATAGATTCGCACTTTATTTTTAAATAATACTAGGTAATCATACTGACTAATAAGTATTATATTTTGATATTATGCCATATTAATAACAGCTAAGTTGGCGTCAAGCATCCATGTCAAAATATTTTAAAATATCGTGATAGTATTCCATCATCTAGGTAGTTATATCAAAGTTTGGTGGGAAGAGGGATTACAAACTGTCATTTAACAGGGAAGAAGCCACAAGGATCCAAGGGAGATTATTATCTATTTTTTATGGTCAGAACGAGGCTAAGACTACTCAATCATGACGTCACTTCGTTGGATACCTAAAAGTTCCTAGAGCGTGTTCAAACAGGGCCTCCAACATATATAGTAATCTCGGAAGTCCTGGTTCAAAGTACGGTCTTTGTTATCGTAGATGTGTAGAACCTTCTTCACATTCCACACGTTCTAGTAGCTGTGAACACGTCCACTTCTTAAAGTTAGTCAAAAAACAAAGAGAAAGTATATCAAGACAGCCATTCTTCGTAATAACATACACACAAACGTATTTCGCGAATCCCCCCCCCCCATGTTTTTTAATTTATAGGATTAATTTTTTATATCGTTCTTATATTTCAAGGCCCGGCATGGCC